TAACAAGATTGAACCATACAAGTGCATTATCGTGTACATGACCAGGACAAGTTCTCCGACGACTGCAGTTTTCAGTAGTAATGGTTGTTGTAAAATCAATGGTTGTTGGCCATTCAAGAACAGAGTGTCTACAGTAATTACTTCACTGTCTTCGGCAAGGGTCCTTTCAAAACCACAAGAAGTTTGATCATTCTTCAATTTTCGCAAACGTAATTCCTAATGTGGCCATCCACGTTGCTTCTTCTCGCAATCGTTTGCGTTTGTACGGCGCATAATATTCCGCAGAAAGACGTCAGTGAAGCGACAAGTGATAGCAGTGATGAGATTTACAATGTCTGCCCCGTATTCATTGAATTTGCCAAAGAGCAAGATAATCTCTCGAACGCAGAACTTAAAGCCAACGCCGCGGATGCAGCCATGTCGGCTTATTTGTTGAGCCACCCAAACAATACATTGTGGGACTATTTCAATATTGAGCTTGAGCAGATCCACGATACGTTTCTCAATTTGCCATTGATTGGACGACTCCAGCGCGTCATCTCAAATGTCTTCAATTACTCGTTGGACACGGTCATTGCGCTCGCACAAATGATTGCGGATGTCATTGAGTGGTGTCTTAATACTGTTCGCCATCCTCTTGTTGGTATCCGGCAAGTTGTCGACTTTTTTAGTGAATTTGGAGAAAATCTCAAGGATCTATGGGGATTATTGAAACGAGATCCGTCAAACACAGCCGAGAACATGGCGGGTGGATTTCTCTTGCACATTGAACATCACATGGCCGAGTTCACAGCCGAGTCAATTCTTTTGATTGGCGCGGGATCTGGTGTTATTCACGGCCTCATCCATGGTGCAGAAGCTATTGCAGGACAGTTGAGCGCTGCTGCTTCGAAAACATTAATCTCTGTGCTCGTATTTATCCACGCAATTGATGACCCCATTCTAATTGTCACTCCGCTCATCACGTCGATCCTTGACATGTCTGATGACCTTGTTAACGGTTCGTCTAAGGCCAATGTGACCTCTGTCACTACACACGCTGTAAAGCCTCTCGAGACATGCTTGATTCCAGAAGAATACCGCCCAAGGTTTTCGACTCGCGACTTGTGCTTAAGCTCTAGTGTGTATGTTCGCATGCTTCTTTTCGGGTCATCTAAACGGTCTGTAAAGATGACTAAACAAGAACGCGTTGCTGCTTACAACCGTTTTCACGATTTTGTGTGCTGCTTCATGAAAGACCACGAGTTTGAGGTGAATACTATGAAGTCGGACAGTGCAAAGTTTGAAGGAGACCTTATCTCGACTCCTGCGACAATGCCAAATTGCTCCCAGCTTATGGGTAGCTACACCGCCGAAACAACGTGGAATCCTTCAGCAAGCTATGAGACCGCCGAAGATCAAGATTAATGGTATCACAATCATAGATAGATTTACATTTTCATGTCTTGCAAAATAAAGACATAAACACTACTCCTCTCGAAGCAATTGTTAATTTGGTTGTTAAAGTGTTTTAATTATCCACTATTAGCAATATAGCTTTACTTTTACCCTTTATAGTGTGTAAGAAAAAGATTCAAAATGGGGCAATATTTTTTATTCAGTGAGGCTAGTATTTTGAAATCAAGGTACATTTGTAGCTAACCCTAGCACCTATATCGAAATAATTTGCAGCACTCTGTATTCTCTAGATTAAATTTATATCAAGCTTGGAGGTATTTGTGGAAGCTGCTACTACGCGATCCTTGCAAGTATCACTTACTTGATACTCCCTACATAAGAGTATTGTAGTTTATTACGTGAGCTGGCGAATATGTACATTTATCATCTATGATGACGGAGCCCTGTTAAATGTATTGCATGCTCACATGTTCTACGAATTTCTACATTTTGAGGTATCATCAATCTGATACCATACCTAGCACTAGATCACGGTATGGTAGTATACGTATTGTCTTTGAGCTTGGCTAATTTTTTATATTTACGTAGCGTTTTACACGCTACTTCACCAATACGCGATCACTCTGAAAAAGATTATCCTGATTGAGGAACCTTACAGCAAACACAGCTCAGCGTGAGCTTTGAGAACACGAATTGCGTAAGAACATCCTTGTTTGGGCACAAGGCTTGTGGGACCGCTAAGTTGGACGAAGCATTTTGGTCGACGACCTGATCGCTTGTTTGATGGGCAAAGCGACGTGTTCTCATGTGAGTGACTCCCCGGATCCTATTCATTACCTCTAATTTCCCAAAGGCTTCAATATTCTTTAGAAAAGTCATTCGATGTGTTAACGTCCCCACCGCTCACACTCACCATCGCGTGAGCAATGACTGTTCGAATGATCAAGACATTTATTTAAATAATTCAGGCGACAAGCAGTCAGAATCTCTACAACAGGGTTTGGAATGACGTAATGACTTACAGATTGTCTTGCTGAAGTCGAATTTCAAACAGTATGGAGTGATCGAAGTGAAGAAAACGCTCCACTTTACCTGATACTAGTCATGATGCACCAGATCACGAACAATTTAGAGATGTTCTTTACAACTTGTCTAAAAGCAGCCTGATTGTGTTTTCGCTGATAATAGTGTCGCTGACAAAAGCAAAGTGAGTCATTTTACCCAAGCCGTCACCTGCTTACTGAAAGCGTCTAAGAAGAAGCAAAGGAAATCATGCTTGAATTGATGGCTTCCAACCGAGATTGGCAGGCTGGCTAAAAGCGCTGAGGTATACAGCGAGGGTCCACCCCTTCAACACGTTAAACACATGCGCGCATCAATGTTTCTGCAATTGTATATTTGCTCCGCGCTCTCGTTCGACAATACACAGGAAGTCGGCGTTGCGCCTTGAGTTTAACAAACTCAATTCTAAGATGGCGCTCCACAAGCATGTCCACTTCCATTGGGCTTCGCTTAAGGGCAGACAGCGAGGAGAGTTTCCGGTGCCACTGCACCCATCGCTCAAAGAGCTTATCATCATCCGCAGCGGTTTCGCCGGGGGCAAGCACACTAGCAATTGTCCGCATCGCAGGCTCAGAAGAGCTTACTCTTTGAGCACAAAGTCGAGTGCGGTACGTCTCCACCTGATATTTTTTTAGGAATCAAGAAGTGAGCTCCGCGAGCTCTTCGTTGGCCAAGCTCTGCTTGTATTGTGGCGGAGGGCCGATCCCGTAGACGCCCGACGATCGAGTGATCGCGCTCTTTTGCTTCTGTAGCGGGAATCGCTCGGCGGAAACCGTATTCCAGACGAGGGCAAAAACCGATCGCGGATGCGATTGCATGAGAGCCGCCCTGTGGGCAGCCTCCAATTGCTGCTCCTGTTCCTCTTCGAGGCAATTGGTATTTCTACCGCTTTCCTCTGAAGCCGAAGAGTCAGGGAACTCCGCAAATTCTGAGCTGGGCTCACGTTGCGCCGTTGGTGCACCTCATCTTCCTCGTCTTCTCATGCTGGGAAAAAAGTATCTGGTTTGCAGTCGACTTCCTTTAACTTCTCAACGAAGAAATTTGCGCTTGTGGTGGGCGCGGTGTCTTGCACTCGGTTGCCGGGGGCTTCGGATGTGCTTCCCGTGAAGCCGCATCCTGTGCAGAAGAAAAAGGGCTTTGCCCGCGGGCGCCATCCGAACCACCTAGGCTTGGTGTTTTGCGTGTCGTAGACACAGGGGACATAGGGCGGACAATGTTCAAGGCTGTTTCTGAGAACGTAACTGTGTCTCAGATACGCGAGCGTCGTATAAGGTGACCGTTAAATGTGAATTCTATATCCACAATTTTAATGGGGAGAGTGTTACGGGATTACACGTACCCTTGTATGAAAGGGACTAAGATAGAGTGACCGTACATAGGTGTGAATTACACAAGGTGATGTTATCACACAATGGTGTGGCTACACCTTAATGCCTGTGGTGATGCATAATAAAATGGTTTTATAATATTTATTTGATGTTACTATCTTCTATAGGAAAACCTACGGTTTTAGATCTTGGCGGCTCTGTCGCAACTAGAACAACTAAATACGATTTCAATACTGAACGGAAGAGCTAACTAACCTTGGTTAAGGTTTTCAGGACTCTTGGGGGCAGCAGATTCCGATCTGCTGCACTCGTACTGTTGTTTATAAAGAACGTAAGGTCGGTGACCTTAGCTTAGCTTCCTCTAAGCAAAGAGCTACGGCAGCCTCGCTGCACTGCACCTCAAAGATATATTCTGCGAAGAAGGCGAACCACCTGGTCATTCTCTGCAAGAGATGCGGCAACTGAATCGCGGTGCGTAGTGACGCATGATCTGTTTTGACCACAAACGGCCTGGAGTCAAGCAGGTGCACCCTGAACTTGACATGTGCATATTTAAGTACTTATAAGTCGTGGACTTGGTAGTATCCTCTCCGCAGCTTTAAGCTGGCCATTCGAACGCGACCACCCGATCTCGCCCATTGGCGTCTGCTTGCAGTAGTGCACAGCCGATGGCAAAGTTCGAAGCGTCACAGACGACACTAAAAGGACGATCGGAGTGTGGCAACGCCAGTATTGGTGCATGAAGAAGGCTGTCTTTTACCCTGTCAGAAGCCTCCCAATGCTCGTTGTTCCAGCACCATTCTGTATGGAGATTAAACAATGACTGTGCCATTTCCGCATCATTTGCGCTATACTTGTGCAAGTAGTTGGTGAGGCCAAGTCACTTGCGCAAGTCCTTTTAATTCTTGAAATTGGTCAGTCCACAATGGCTTTGACCTTACCGGGATCCGCTAGATGGCCACGCTTAAAGCACCCTATTCCGCGCCGAAGGTGCAATTAGCATACAGCGTATTCGTGCGCTTGCACTCGAGCACCGCTCTTAAGTGGATAATGTGGTATTCATCATTTATCCTCCCGATCTGTGGACAAGGCTGTCGTCAAAGTATATCTGTGCATACGCCCTTTGGGGCCTGAACAACTGCGATTAAATGTTGCTGGTGCATTTGACACATCCCCAGCCACTCCAGCTCGGTATCCTCACTGCTGTTAGCGGAACATCGTATGCTCTAGTGAGTAATTGGTAATACCTATCGACCAAGTCGAGCGAACTGCTATTTGTACATTCAACAATGTTGTTATGGAGAACATATTTTCTAGGAATCGGCGTTCGCGCCGGAATGATGGCAGCGCTGATCTTATTGTAAGCATGAGCGATACACCGCTTGCCGTTCGGCTTCTGGACATAAAGCTAGGAGTTGATGTGGGAGGCTTGCTCTTACGCACCATTCCTGCGTCGTGCTCGCACGGAGGAAGGCATCAATGACGGCGGCTTATTGGGCAGGGGACACTGGCGTGTTCTGCAGTATTTGGTTTCCAGAACCAAGTCGGTATCATGACGCACACCTCGATCCGATGTTAGGACCGGCGTATAATGGCCTCAACTGCCTTTAAGGCACTGCCGAACGCCTTGAATAACATCTCGTCCAGCTCAAGAATAGCCTTCACCGCAGCAATGGCCTCCAGAGTTACGTCGCTGCCTTTCTTACACGTTATGCCGTTGACGAGGGTGTGTAGCTGTGCGCTATCGTCTACGGTAGGCACATCCTGGATCAGGGTCGACATCCGGCGTCTTGCAGCTAGCATACGGCGTCGCCGACGCCACTTCACAGAGGTTGTAAGCCCCGGCGAGACCAATGGGAACACGTACTCAGCATCGTCCAGTGTTAATCCCACTACCTGCTTCACCGGAGCCCTGATGTTATGAACAACATACAACGAAGAGCTGCCATTTCCGCAGTTTTTGTCTAGTTGATAACTTGTCACTCCGCGCGCATCAGAAGGGCCTTGTCCAAGATGCCTTAGACCTCGTCTGACTACGCCACGAGTGGAATGCGAGTGGCATGCAGCGACCGCTCTGAAACGTGAACAGTGCTCCGTAGACTACGTGCCACTCCACGTGAATTAGTGAGACCTTGCCCTCGAAGTCTAAGACCTCGTCCGGCCATGCCATATATGGCATACAGCGGCTGCTTCGAAACAGGCGTAGTGCTCAGTAGATTACGTGCCACTCCATATGCATTACTGGGGCCTCGCCCACGATGCCTCAGCCTTTGGCCGACCATGCCATGCATGGCATTTAGCGACTGCTCCAATACATGAGCAGTGCTCAGTGGGTTACGCGCCACTCCAAGTTCAGCCCTCGAGCCATTCTCGGGACTCTTGTCCAATAAACCTACGGTGTTCACCAATTCGGATGCTCGGGACTCCACAACGTCGAGCGTCTCGGTCCAGTGCCCGCGCCAATAGCGTTTTCGCCTCCCAGCAGAGATGAAATTATGACTCACCAAATCTCCACCTGGAAACGTGCGCGTACAGTCCAAGGTCTTCGACATCCAGTCGACCCATGGATCATGGTGCTCCAGCGATGGAAGGGGTCATACCTTGAATCCAAGTCTAAGACTAAGCAGCGTTTCACTCTATCAAAATCAAGAAACTTGACACCGAGGTCCACAGGGACCATCGGCAGCGTGACACATGTCCCCGTCGCTATGCGAACAGTGACGATGTCACTCGCCGCGCTTTCAGCGCCGCAGCATACAGCTAGCTTCCTTCAATCGGGGAGCGTCGAGCATGATTGCCCGACGCCTCGGAGTCGATCACGATCTTCCATGGCTTTTCAAAGCCCTTCACAGTCGCTTTTACGACCAGAAAGTTCGGCTTGCATACACATTTCGTTACAAGAGCACGCAGATCATCGGGGCTAGGCCCTGCTGTTCTCTACCTCCTTGTAGCTCTACAAAAATCAGTTCTTCCCCAGTAGGCCGCACACCGTCTACAAACCAGAAGACTCGTAAGCAGCGGGGCGTCGGTTCGATGGACCTTGGCACGCCTTGTGCAGGGGACTACAGATCCAAAGGTGACGGGTGTCGCTACAGACAAAACACTGTCTGGTGGTCAAACGCTGCTCGGTAGCTCGTTGCTCTACCTCCCCGTCCTCATCACAGCTAAAATCTATCGGCTCAGGCCCGCTCGACGAGCTATTAGAGTGTGTATTTCAATTAAATCGTACCGACTTGAAGTTGAATTCGGAAATAACACCACATTCACTATTTCTTCAAAAATGACGAGGTCACAAGATTTCTATTCTGGCCACGCAAGTGCAGAGGCCCTCCATCAAGACGGTCACTGTGTCCGCCTCGAAAAGAGGATCGGTTGCTATATCGACGATGAGAGTACGCTACTCTTGGACAAAGTTTGCCAATTCTTTTGTGCCTTGTCGGGCGGCAAGATAATGCGAGCACACGTGTTATGCCTAATTAGGCAGTGAGAACACTCGCAAAAGCTACAGCTTCAGCTCCGTCCAAGAGGGAAACGCCGCTTCGACTGAAGTGACGCACGTCAGTGCCCATTCTCGCGCTCGATTCCCTAGCTTGGAGATAGGTAGCGCTGTTGCTCGGTCAAATGCACTGCGGACGCTATGATCGTCTCGACCTCTCTCACCCGGAGCAATAGATTTTCTCCGTCCTTGCCCTTGGAGATCTTAACACTCACCATGAGCGGCCGTGGTCGGGAGGGATTATCCGTCATGAATGGTAGTGTCATGGACGCGGTTGACGCCGATATCTCTAGCAGAGCTTTTTTATCGCTTGAAGCGCACGCTAATCGCTTCCGGTTTTTGCAAAGCGAGGTGTTGCACACCCTAAGGACCGAGAAGAGACATCAGCTTTTTTAAGCCCGTCCTGTATGCCCTGGAACAAATAATAGAACGGCTCCATCCTTACAGAGTGTCAGTCGTTAGGACTCAGGTACAAGTGCTACCAAGTACAGCGGGGCTGCCGTAGCACTTTCGCTACGAGGAAGCTTGGTTAAGGTCGGTGACCTCTGTTCTATACTAAGAACCAGTACGAGTTTAGCGGATCGCAATCTCCTTTTTCCAAAAGTCGCTTGAACCTTAATCCAGGGCTAATTACCCTTTCCGTTTAGAAATCATGCCGTATTTCTCGGGTTTATCTACGGCAAAGTTGCCTGTATGAAAACTTACAGGATTTCTTGCCTATTTAGTTGTATATCTACTGGCTGTTACAACCACGTAATGACTTCATGTATAGGTGTAGCCACAACATTTTGTGGTCACACCATCTTGTGTGACCTACAAAGTGATCACACTATCCTGTGTGACCCACACACTTCATACTAGGGCACTTGAAACCCTTTTACAGAGAACCGCAGAACCATACCGTTCCCTGTCTATGAGACTCTATTTAGGTAATGAGGTGTTCTCCACACCCCACCTCGATTCTACGCAAGTTATGTATGTATTAACTCTGCACGAGGCTTTAACCCTCAAGTTGATCACTCAGCTTGGCTGAGATTTATCTAGTGTTGTGCGCTTGTAGAGTCTCTAACCCCCAGAGGTCAAAAGTTTGATTCGCACTCACTGCGATACACACCGCTCCTCACGAAATTATGGTAGGACGCGGAAGGTCTTGCTGTAAGCCGATCTGTAAGGAAAAAATATGCAACGGAACTCCCGTTCAGTTTTCACTCAGAAACTCGACTCAAAGGTCCCTGTCAGCCAATTGCACAGAAGTTAGGTCCATATCTACAATCCTGTAGCCATTTTGACTCAAATGATCTAGCGACCTTGTTTACTTTGCAGTGGGGTTGCCGTAGCTCTTTCTTCATAGTTAAAGCTTAGAGAAAGCTAAGCTGAAGCCAACAATCTTACGCTCTATACTCGAGTCAGTACGAGTGTAGCAGATCGAAATCCGCTACCTCCAAGAGTACCCAAAACCTTAACCCAAGGCAATACACTCACAATTGAAACTGTGTTTATATGTTTTATTTGCGGTTGAGCCGCCTTTATCAAAAATTCCAGGTTTTCCTAATTAAACATCAAAACCTAATTAATATGCATAACTACTGGCAGTCCCGCCATGTAGTGACTTCTTGTTACGGTGTAGCCACACCATTGTGTGATTA